GTGTTTAGTTTTGTGTGAATGGGGAAGGTTAGGGCCAGCAACCCTAGGGGGTTAGGGTTAAGGGAATTCCAGGTAATGTGTGCATGACCAGTCTTAAAGGTTTGTGTCAGAATGCCTCAAAAAAACAATGCTGAACTGTCTCAGCAACTTATGAATGAAAATTTATAGATCACAACAGAATTATCAGTTAAGTCTCTTGCGAATAACCTTGCAGGTAACTTGTGTACATACATGTACATGTACTTTCTGAAATAATATTGGAGGGCTTCAAAATAAATATTATAGACTTCGGCTTTTGAAATATTTGGCATTACAGGTACTAAATACATTTTAGGCTGTCTACAAATAGCTTTTAAATGTTGATCAAGCAGACTAGTGTTTATAACTTGAATAGAACTTGACAGTGGAACACTTTGTTCCAGTTCTAGAACATAATTCATGAAGATTTGTTGGATATGGTGATTTGACTCGCAAGTCAACCTGAAACAAGTTATATATTATGCAAGTGGACTACTGAAGTTTAGGAAACTAGGGCAAGGAACCATGACATTTTCCAGGCAATTCTCATTGGCAAGTACAAAATTATCTGGATATATGTTTTCATGAACTTTTAAATTTGCCTATGTAATTTTGAACAAAATTGCTCAAAATCTCATGGGAGTTGGTGGGATACAAGCCAATGTGAAAAAAATACTTTACTTCACCCCTGCTGACTGCAACCCCCCCAAAAAAAACGCATAAGCCACTCTCGTGTTTGGTAAATGGAACTGTCTTAGTTCTACCACCAAGTATTTTAAACTGGTTTGAAACATGTAACATTTACTTAATTCAGTGAACTGAGCTGAATTCCATTTTGAAACAAGTAGTTACCACAAGGATTCTTGTATTTTGGTACTATTATCAGGCATACTTTCTGCTGGAAATTTAACCAGGTACATGACGTAGCCTGCTACTGGCTTTAGGTTCGGTTCACTCGAAGGTGCTGTAAAGGCACACAAACTAGCTTTCCGCCATCAAAATTCAGTAGTCAAGGATTTGCAATTGAATGTGCACAAATTTTGTAGCATTGATGAGTGCGTCTTTCAACAAGTGTTCACGGAGGGGAATGCACCGACATGTGGGAACTTGTTTCATGGAGTGAGGCCTCATTCATCATGAGAGAACTGTGTCAGATTTACACTGAGGCAAGTGACTGGCACATGTACCCCAGGTATACAGTAATATCCTCATATTGACGTGTGCATTGATCTTATCTTATGGTACATGTAATTAATTAATTGAATAAGTACATGTGTGCCTGAACTTGGAAAAGATACTACGAAAGAACACAAGTAAATGTATTGGAAGCAAATGGTCCATTCTGAAAGAACAATCTCACACAACACAAACACTTCGCACGTACAACCACATGTACATGTACACGAATGTGGATTCTACAACTTCTCTAACAAAGAATTGAATTTCTTTACTTTCCTAAGCCAAGGTACATCACCCTACTTCTTTAAGAAAAAAGTTATATCAACAGGAAAGCCTGGATGTACTTAAACCAGTCTTAATTCACTGAACACACACTCCACAGACTCAAAGGTAGAAAATATGGCCATGAAACGTGACTGAGTACAGTATGTAGATCTCACCGAATGTTGCACAAATGAACTGGAAGATATCATTTTCTCTTCCATCTGAACAAACGCACAAAATGAATTTATTACCAACGTACTGTACCAAATGCAACATCAAATAGGCCGGTGGAAGAAATGGACATCACAAGTCATCACTCACTGAAAGGAAGATCAACTGGGTACTGAAACACTTGGTTTTTTTTTTTGGATTTTTTTTGAATGCTACAAATTACTGCAAAACATAGCTACTGAGAGAAACATGCAAAAGTTTGATACATCAAAGGTCTTCTGAGGAATTCCCCCCCCCATGAATCATTGGGTGTACACATCTGGGCAAAGTAAGCCTGCATGAAAACATGCCTATTTGTGTAATTCACTGATGCCTTCCCTTGTGCGCAGACAAAATACCCCCTCCCCCCAAAAAAACTGCACCAAGCACAGATGCAAACAGGAAATTACAACCATCTTGCAATCACTGTCAGTCTACCAGTGATGCATTAAATGCAAAATGGAACTTGGCTACGTCTACATCTGTACGACGGAGAAAGAGAGAGAGAGAGAAAAACATTTATGTGGTTTGTTCAATTTATAAATCTAGTAGACTAACACATTACTACAGAGTATTTACAAGAACGGCATAGAATGACCATTGAGTTGCATTCTGTGGCAACTGCTGGTTTCTACAGCTGAATTCTGTGAGTTTATTTCTTGCATGCATTGACAACGTCCAGCTTGAGTCATCCGTTTGGGTTTACGTACTCAACATTGCACATATTCCCTTGTAAACTGAGCACCTAATTAAAAAAGATTTCTGGTTTTACTAACCTTGTGAAATTCATGAATAAATACTTGAGTCTGTCGACAGTCATTTGAAATGATTTGGAACAGAGTTGAGAAATAAACGTGTATACATGTACATGCATTCCTGAAACTGAAAGCATTTTTTTTTAATGCACCCTGTAAAAAAAAAGGGACGAAACAAAACACGCAAAATAGAAAGGGCAGGTTCATAAACACGTTTGGTGTATAGACTATCTTGTGATCTCTGAAAAGAAATATAAATAACATGTAAACTTGAAGATGTTTAAAATACTGCTTTGAATGTGACAACTGAATTAACATGCAGCACATTTGATGTCACTGGTCTCATTTGATGACCAAAAAATACAGGGTTGATGGCAAGAGTATATTGTTTCACTTATGCTTAAAAGCTGCTCTTTCATCGTTTTTACAGAATAAATAGTTCAGAATATGTGACTGACTTCTTTTTTTTTTCATTTGGCATGGTACAAGGCTCTATTCTGCATTTCTGATGTCTATACAATACACACTATATGTACAAGTGTACAATGTACAATACAAGTACACATGCCCAACCAGGCCAAGTCAATGTGACTATGAAAATACTCCACATTATTATGTATTTAGAAATTACACAAAACACTACTAGAATTTTTCTCGAAATCATACATAACATGATTCAAGAGATATGTACATAAAATATCACTTCTAATTCTCTCTTCATGTCCACCATTTTTGTCAGTGTACAACGACACCAACCATATGAACTTTTTTAGTAGGGACACATATCTTCGAAATCAGTCAAGAGTCAAACAATAGAATGATTTTTAATCTCATAGAATTTAACCTCGTAACTCTACATAAACCTGGGTCCAATTCATAGTGCTGCTAAGCACATGATTTTATGTTTACAGAGTATGGGCATACTTCATGGAGACTGAAAGCAGTAAGCACAGCAAAAAGCATGCTTACCTCGGAGGAAAAATTTGTTTAAACTTGGTGATGTAACAATGAAAATCTCCATGCGCACCCATGCAATTTTTGTGCTAAGCACAGTAAGTGTGAAGTCTTTGCTGTGAAGATCCTTTTTGTTGAGCCAAGTTTTGTGCTACGGTTATCCCCCCAATATGGCTTAACGGTAAGCAGCGCCGTGGAATTGGGCCCTGAACTGAGCTGAATTGGATTGAAACTGCATGTGTGTAGTCCTCTGACAAAATCAGAACAGTTTCTTAATACAATGTATACATGTAACTGCCATGTGTCTAGCTACATGTATGCTACTCCTTCAACCGTTTGCTTGCCTGTTTGTGAATTTTCCCATACATGGACATTTTTCTGTAAAGTATGTACATGTATGAGGCTTTTTCACTGCGAAAACTACTCCTTGAATAACACGTTCTTACAAGGCTTGCATAAATTTAGAACGCACTGAGTTTGTAGTGCTTACAAAGGTAAAGAATTGTGACACTTCTCACATCATGGAAATAAACATCTCTGGCAATATTTGGCACTTCTTTTGACTGACTGTATTTGACAATAGTTTGGTCTCTGTGACACAAAGAAATAACTGATAATATTGGGTGGCTGAGACGTGTGTCTTGGAGTATTTTAATGGAAAAAGAGCACCAACTAATAACTGGATTGTAACCATTCTGAGCAATCATTCTGAGGTTTGCTCAGAGGTGACAAATGTGATTCACATTGGGGGGTTTTGTTCCGTTGCAGTGGCATTTGAGGTAAATACCGTAGGTCACATGAATTGAAAATTTTTACAGGAAAGGACAGGAGGACTGCCCCTTTAATGGAGTTGTTTTCATTTCAAATCAATCGAGGAGAGGCAACAATTTCATCTTTGCTTTGATCCTCCACTTTGTTCGCAGAATCAAAACAATTCATGGACTGCTTCCTCTCGCTTGTGTCACTCTGTGTAAGCTTCACGTCGGGACAGTTTACTGTGACCATACCTGACACTACTGCCTCGGCGCTGCTACAGTTCTGCAGCTCGTGAAACTCCGAGTGATTGGTGGTGCCGTGCGCAAAACTGTCCCCCATGGGAATGGCGACCGAGCTGATCTTGCTGGTGGCCAGCTCCGTCTCGTCCAGGGGGTCGATGGCATTCAGGGCACTCAGGATGGTGTAACTGCTCGTGGTCGTGCATGGGGTGGAATCCGGGGTGGTGGAGGAAACGGCATCCTTGTCCACATGTATGTGGCACTGCTCTGTTTGGCTTATGCGGGAGTCCATGATCATGCTGCTGTCATAGCCGCTGGGGCTACTCGAGGCACAGGGCGGGGCTTGCGTGACGACATTATCACCAAAATTACCTGAAAAGGTAGTAATGTGGGCGTTGAGATCTGTGAAAGTGCTGTTGCTGCACAGGGGCAAGCCTAACTGCAAATCAGAGCCTTCATCTAATGTGCTCAGCTTGCTGTTGGGGACCTCCGTGAAACTACTGTCCGCCGAGCTGGTCACGCATATGTCAGAGGCCTTGCTTATTTCCGCATAAGTCGGGGATTCCTTGAACGCAAACTCGCCGCACTGGTTATACTGGTAGCTGTCATTGGAGCTGGCATCAGAACTGGAAGTCAGAACACTGTCATCTGACTGGGAGTAGGTGGCCAGAGAGGGGACAGGATCACTACAACCAAGACCAACATGGTGGTGAGGATGCAGAAGGCCATCGTTGGAATCATTATAGTGCAGCATGCGTGGAATAAGGTCCTGCACATTCAAGTGCTGCTTAACCTCCACTGGGATATTACCTTCTACACCTTGACCACCATACTGGTTGGGAAACAAGTGGTTTCCTTCTACTGTTGAGCAACCCCCTTGTCCATTGTTGTAATGGCTTAATGAGTGGGCGTACCCTGTGGCTCCGTTTTCCCTTTCCATTGACGAGTTGTCGCAGCACGGCTTGGTGCAGGAAGCTAGCGTGGTGTACTCCTCGGGAGTTCCGAGCGAGGCACTGCCCACCTCCTCTCCGCCGTCGCTGCTACTGGGCCCTTCTTCACCGTTGGAGTCCCTGTCTGAGTCCAGTCGCATGATGGTGTGCAGGAAATGTGTTCGGACACGGACGGGATTGAACTCCACCCTGCCCGTGGGATTGCCGCAACCTTCCTTTGTGCAGCCGCATGGGAAGGACAGACGGTCCACCTGGCACTTGATGTCAGCCTGGGCGCAGGCGCACGTAGCTGGGTTGCAGATGTTCCGGCAGTCGCACCCGCAGCTCTCTCGCGAGACCCGGATTTTCTTCAGGTCCACTTTCTCCACGTTGTCCACCTTTTTGACGCCGGCGAAGCGCAGCAGGGCCCGCCGCTGCTTGGTTGGGATGGGCTGCAAGAAGTAGTAGTCGGAGATGTTGATGCTGTTGAGTTCATCTTCGATCTCCTCCTCGGAGATGTCCTCCAAGTCTGTGACTCCACTCTCCAGGAGCTGCTGCTGTCGCCTCTCAATCAGCTGCCTCTTGAGGATGATGCGGTGAATTCGTTCTTGCTCTTTAGAATAGTCGCATAGGGAGAATGACTTCTTCAACTCATGTCTAGGCAGCATTCCTAACAGGACAGGGAAAAAGATCTGTGAGGTCCAACCAAGCTCTTGATAAAATAGATTTACAGTTAAGTACAAGCCAAAAAGTGATGAATATCAGGTTTAATTGAAATATTGCTTTGCTCCAAAAGCTGTCACAGGTAAAGAAATGTGTTAGTTTTACAATTTGTGAACATGTCCTTATATGACTTTGGCCAGAAGTGTAATTTGACAACCAAAATTAGAAGTCATTGCAGCGATGGCACAGTGTTCATACACAGGTGGTACACACTTCTTACATTCCTCTTTGACCAAAAGGGTGTCGTAATTTGCCAAATGCATGTGCGCGTCAAGCTGAAGAATGTGTGGCTGCTGTTATGGTATCAAATCAGATGTGTCAGTTGGTAAAAAAAAAATATGCTTCAGAATTTTTTTTTGTATGTCCATCACACTTGGCTGGCAGTGCAACAATAATAACCGCGCGATTACTAACTATTCTCCGAGTTCCAGTTATAAACTCTCTTAAGTTCTCCATCTACAGCTCACATGACTCAGTTTGAACAATTTCACAAGTTGCCACGAAAATTTCAGAGTAGAGTTATACCAGGTAGAGTTACCCCAACTGTAACCTGGAGTCCGAGAACAGTGGAACACAGCTGTAAAACTAGAAAGACCAGCTTCACTGCCAAATGGCTGTTTGCCGGAACACCTCTGCTACTCTCACGAAACAGCAAGTTTAAAGTTCCTGGCACACATCTTCAACACACTACGGAGTGATGAATCGCATATAGTTGCCACATCAGGAACTGAAGTACTGTACATGTACATATACACAAAGTCTACGCTTTACACATGTATGTTACTTCATGGTGTGTCAGAACAAGTGTCAACTTTTGTTCCAACAATCACAAGTTTCCCCATCTACCCACCTAGCGTTGAGCCACCCTGGCTGGGTACGGAGGTAAAACCCTGAGAACGGCGGAAGTAGTAGACAGTTACCCCATCAAAGGAGACACACTTCTTCTTCCTGGATGGTCCGAGAATACTTCTAATGGCAAAATCTGACAGGAAGGGGAAGAAATTTTAAATCAAACTGGAGCATTCAGGAAGTCTTGTGGCCTAAACGTAGGGGGGAATGCGGGTTTACACACTGAATGAATCATTCCATTTCTCCTGTTACACATTATTACTGATCCCACCACTAAATAAATTCCTATTCTGGTTGAGGATGTACATGTACTCCCCTACAGGATACAGTTTTAGTAATACCATTTGATGGCTTCGGTACATCAGTGGCCAGATCAGCGGAGTTGCTGCAGCTTCCCCCACTCCCGCCAGCCTCGTCTGGGGAGGACGGACAGGAATCCTCTGAGGGGCTCGGCGAGCGCTTCCGCTTGTTGCTGGGAGGGACGGGGCAGGTAGACTCGGGCAAGAAGGTTGCCATGGTTACGACAGGCAGAGCAAGAAGAAAGATGGCAAGCACTGGCTGGGTGGCATGTATACAGGGCTTCAAGCTGGGAGGTTAAAGGAGGAGTCGGAGGTCAGAGGTTACTAACGGACATTAATTAATATCAATCCAACCCCAGCAATAACTGACACTGCAAACAGTCATGAGATTCTAGAAAAAACTGACCTGTTGGATTCTACTGGATTTAAACTCTTCTAACATTACACTTTTGTGGCATTCATGATTAGTAAAAAAAAATTGAGCAGCTTTCATAAAGCATCCTGTATAACATGTCAGTTTTCCAATCAAGTCTTGGTTTTAGGATCTTCAAGTAACTCAAGTCTAACCAACATTTTACACCAAAGGGAAAATATGTGTACCGAAAAGAACAATCCCACATGCCAAATACCGGTACTGTAATTTTCAGAATATAAGCTGTGGCTCATACATTGATTCACGCTGAAAACTGTCTCTGCCGCTTATACGCCAGGCAACTTTGAAGGATAAAAATCAATCACAAAAGCCGCGTACGGCGGCGCGTACCACATGCTAGGGGCGCAGTCATTTATTCGTTGGTTGTCATTTACATCTGAGAACTGGAACTTCGGAGAATAAAAAAAATTGATGAGTTGTCTGGATTTCGAGTTAACGGAATTCCTCGAGTCATGAGTCAAGAAACACATACGTGAAATGTGAAGGATAATTACTTGCTCTGTGGCAACATTTTTAGTGATTATTTTCCCGCTTTTTATTTATTCTCATGGTGTATTTTTTTAAAGACAAATACTTTTTTTTTATTGTTGTATCCTAAAGATACCTCGAAATAACCGGATGTAGTGTTGTGGACAGTTACAGAGGTATTTCTATAGAAAAGCCTATTCTTTTGGCAAGAAACAGTCAGCCTACGAGTAAAACAATCTTTTGACTGAACTGACTTTGACTTACATGTACCAAGATTTTATTGTACGTCCCCCTGAGCCCTGACAGCATAACTTTTGCTGACCGCTGGAAAAAAGGCAAGAGCTGATGCATAGTCCACGTAGGAAAACCATCCAGCCCACAAAAAAAAATTAAATTTGAGGACTCAAAGTTCACTTTTTTGTGGTGACACTCGTTTGCATTTTGCTTACTTTTATTAGGATTGCATGTGTAGTAGAACCACTGACATACTCTTACATGCTGCACCCAGGACGATGACCTTTGTGGTTGGATCGTCAGTGCTGGGGTGCGGCTTTTACACCAATGCAGCTTATACGCCGAATTTAAATCTTAATTTGCCGATTTTTGCATGCTGCGGCTTATAAACCGGGCGGCTTATATTCAGAAAATTACGATAACAAGTACATGTACCGTGTATTTACATGTACATGTACTGCACATGTGTACATGCAGAGCAGAAGCTGCTCACATGACCACTGTCAAATATACTTGCTATTACTACATGTACCCCCGTATTTATTGAAAGCTACCGGTACATGTACATGTACACATACACGCACTTCAATTTTATTTCTGATGAAGTCACATACACTGTACAGCAGTTACGCAGTTCACTTTGAACAAGTATAATTGCTACGCAGTTTTTCCTAATACTGTTTTTCACAACCCAAACAGTAGCCAGGCAAGTTGGAACATGTGGGCCAGAAACAGGTATACGTACTCAGCACAGGGTGATAACATAGACGCAGCTTCCTGTCAAATATTAGAAATATCCTGTGCGGGTCCACAGTGATGACGCCTTCAATTAAGGACAGATCACAGAATGTTCCATACATGACCATAAAAGGAAATCTGCCGTAATCTCAGCCACTGCTGGCTACTTGTAAACTGTACCTTGCACTACTTCTGCTGAATGATGCTAGGTTTTTTCACAGCTGTCAACACACATAACATGTACCATGGTGAGGAAAGACACAAAATTAAAACTGGTCGAAAGCATCCCATTTTTGTTTTGGTTTTGCTTAATTAACAGCAGCGCAAATGGAATTTGTGAAAATGAAGTTAGTGTCCCACGCACCATGGGGCCTCATATTGCTGTAAGGCATATACCTTTACATGTGCATGTACTGTACATAGGTTGCAGATTCCATGTCAAATATCAAAAATTCTTTGAGGTATAGATTTTAGATTCCTTGAAATTTTCTGTAATTGTTTGGTCATGTTAGGAAACTACAAACACCTGATTTTAGTGTTTTGCGTTACGGTTTGTGAGTTAGAGGTTGATGAACTTCTGATTGAGCAGTTTTCACAAATGTGAACGTCTGTATCTCCAGATGTAGGAATCTTTGATCAGAGAGTTTCATCTTACATTAAGACTCATGACCAAAGAAACCATCTTATTTCCAAACTATGAGACAAAAGTAAACATTTCAACATGAGGTCAAGCAAAATGAACTTTGACCTTTGACCCCCATGGGCAGCTAAATGAATTTTATTTTTTTGGGAAATTTTGGATAAGAGTGTTCCAACGTGTACATGTACATAAAAGCAGATTTCTTCAGTGCTGTGTAAAAAATGAATGAATTTTTCACATTCTTAATGCTGTACATGTGTGTACATGTATTTGAGAAGTGAGGCATACCATACACGGTTAACAGGTAAAGTTCCTTTATTATGTAATGTTCAATCACATGTGCACTGCCGTTTGAATTTTATACAAATCTATCTTTGTAAAAATTATTCGAACCGTTAATTAAAGTCCAAGGGGCTATCACTTTACAACGGGCTTCACTCTACGTGTCCCAATGCAACAGACAGAAAGACAACATGTACATGTACATCTACATAAGCCTACAGGTATGGGTTTCTACTTGGAGCTGAAAGAGGGCTGTGCGTGTAGAGTGTTTACAAAGCAACAATCTCTCTTGAGGAAAAACACATGCTCATTAGCAAGAGTGCAAAATTATAACGAAACAAGTGTAGTGAATTAAATCAATTGATCATATGATGCTACACACATACTGAGGTACATGTACATGTACCTAACAATCCTGTCCATTTCAAATCCAACAAATGCTGTACAGTATGTCAAATTGTATATGTGTGCACGTACACTGAAGGTCCTTTCTAATGCTCTTCAGTTTATGCTATATTAATGTAATGACTTACACGTATGTCATGTTTGTATTTGTACAAATTCAGAGGAAAAACACCTAATGTGTGCTCCCCTTACTTTTTATTATTTAAAGAACCTTTTCTTTTGTTCTCAACTGGTTATTTATTAACTTTACCCACAGAAATTATCAATTTCAATATATGCATAATATTCATATTTTTAGGAGTGCCTCCATTTTTGGTCCCTCTTTTGTCAAGTAGCCCCCATTTAGCAAAACAAAACAAAAACTCCCCCAAAAAATTGAAACACAAACAAGAAAACAAGAAACAACACCAAACAAAACACTGAACAACACACTGCAAACTACCAGCAGTAATGACATTCACACAACGTCTAGTCTGAAGCAACATCTGCTGATGAAGTAATCTCTCAATTGCCTGGTTCAATTGCTGGCCACCAGTGTCTGAAAAGATCGCTCCGTTTGCAATCACATAATTATGGAAATTAATCCAGGCGCGAATCCATATTCACAGGTAACTTAACAGCCGGGGCAGCGGTAGCTACTGTGCAGCCATCATCAGTCAATGGACAGATTGCTGATTACCATGGCAACTATGCATGTCAGTTGTTGTCATGGCAACAATGCCTCAGGGGACTGGAATGCTAATGTCATTTTTTTTTCATTGTGAAGAGGGTGTAGTGGGTATATAAGCCTACCTACATGTAGTATATGCAAAAGTAGTACAATACATGCCAGGCAGTCATATGGGGGTACATGTATAAGGTTCAGTAATCAATAGCAAATGTGTTGGCAAATACATGTATCAACACTATGAGATGTACATTTGTGTACATTAAATGTACGTGTACATGTGTTCAGGAGCCTACCTGTACATACCGGTATGTACATTGAAAGAATATAACCAATATGTACGGAAAGCTGGGTCCAATGGGCCACTGAAATATTTTAGAGTTCAGATTATATTATAACATGTGTAGCCCATCACAGATTATTCCTTCACAGTCCTACATGTGTATATAATAGATTATTTCCAGCACCAAGATTTGATGGCAATTATTTATAACAGATGCATTATGCAAGCATACCAAAATTGAACGCTGTTTGTTCTACATGTATAAACCACCAACAATCTTATCCACCTTGCCATCGGCTGCACTGCATTATAACTGATACCACTAAACCTAACACAAAACTGATTGACTTACAAGGCCAAGGCACTGGTATTGTACATGTGATTGGCATACTATGACTGACGTACATTATATAGGGTACATTTCCTCAACAGTGATTAAAAAGCCCTTCTCTCTTGATGACCAGCAACCCTTGCATTCAACACATGCACATGTACGCGTACACAGGCCATATTCATTCCTGTGAAGATTGCAGCCAGCCACTAATGCTGGGAACAGTGTTGGCTTGGAATTAAAAAAGGGGGCTGTGTACATATTGCAGGGCCTATGCTATTCGCAGTACATCTGTAAAATCACAGGATTTACATCTTCAACTGAAAGACAGAGCTACCTGGTGAATACATTATTTCTTTGCGGGTACGGCTAGAGCTGACTATTTGAGGTGACGACCCTACATGCCATGAATACACAAGTGGCTCACATTGCATTCCCTGCCTTGAGGGGGAGCATGTACAGTACATGTACATGTGTGTATATGCTGCTGACTTAATGACAGCCTGTTCATGATGCCCTTACAATTTTACACGTATGTGTACATAACTCCCCTGATGCATCAATATTAGTTCAAAGGCTTACACTGATTGATAGAGCCAAATTAACCAAAAACAACATGTATCTGTATGTTCTTTCAGCAACACCTTGGATTTACACTTGTACATTTTCATACCGGTATACATATGTACATGTATATACATTTTTTGTGATTTCTACCTGTAATGAAAGTAAGGGATTTTTTAACCACTCGTAAAGGAACACTTCCTTGTGTTCAATTACTGACAGCTGAGGAAAATACAAACATGCAATACATGTAGCTTTAAATCCCTTTCAGTTCACCATTCAGTAAATCTGAAAATGGAATTTACAACTGACTGTTGCTAAGACCACGGAGGAAGAATTCACAGGGGAAATCTCTACAAACAGCTGTTACAGGTGCATTCACATTTGTAAATGGAGCTCATCAAGTTATATTCATGAAATCCAAGCTTATGACTACATGTAACAGTGAGCCTGTGTTCAGTGCTTGGACTGCTTGAAATGTATGCTTTGTCTCCTACCGGATGTTCCACGTTTTGAGCAGCCTTAAATTGCCTCATTAAATTCTTATTATGTGTAAAATTTATACAAACTTGTACATGTCTTCATTTTTCACTTAGGTCTATAATTTTGAAGATGACAATTTTGAACTTCGTAAACTGAAAATTATGACAACTGAAAAAGATGATGATTAATGCTGTCTCCTTTAATCAACAGCACCATTTGTAAAAAAATACATTGTAGCATGTTGTGTGAGTGTGTGTCTGTTAACTTCCCTTTCTCAAAATGTCACAGGAAAATAACAATGTGCCAGCCTTATGTACATGTGTACCCTGTAGTCATTTTTCACCAACACTTCTGACAAAGGCTGTTATGATCTAGTTGTGGTTTACTTAAGTGCAGCTAACCATCAAAGGTCACTCTATTCACATTTGAAATGCCAGGTTCTAAGAAAAAAGGGTAATTTTTCAGAATTTGAGAACAGCATCAAAAGTAGGACGGAAAGTACTCATTTGCAGGGCCTACAAGTACATGTAAATGCCAACATATTTTCGATCTTGATTGACACATCATAAAAACATAAAAAAATGAATCCATTCTTCGATTGAATACTTAGTACAATCAATGTTTTATACACGTGCAGCTTCAGCGTGGCTGCTTAATTGCACGCAGTGTTGTGACTGTGTTTGGATTAATGTACAGACTTGAAACATTGAGTGGCATGTTGACACATGCATGAGTATGGTACAAATGTATGCACATGTGCTTTTCTCACCATGTTACTCTCAATATGTGTACAATTGAATATGATGCCATATAAACTCCATGTACATCATCTAAACCCACCAAAGTGCATTTAACAGCTTGAACACTCTCAACAAGTAAACTTGGCGCTCATCTTCACCGGTTCCAAAGGCAAGCACATACATGTATTGTACATGTACTTGTGCACCCACTGCACGTAAACACAGACAACCCTATCTGTTTCTATTCATAGCTAAGATGAAGTGTCCGGCCAGTGATTTCATATCCTGCACAGATTACTGCAGACATCCATGCTGGCTGACTTTATTTTTAGGACTTGAGCCCTCATCAGAAGTATGGGAGTGAATCACAAGCTGGGCTCAAAGAGAAGGATCAACTTGGTAAATCATGGTCAAGTCCTTCAAGACCTGTGCTCCCATTTTACTGTATAAATACTAAAGACAGTTTAACCATTCCTGTTGGTCAAGAGTGGACAGTCGTTAACATTTGGTACAGCACCGGCCAGCTGATCTATGAAATCTGGTCCCTTTTTCCTTGTTTCCTTGTTACATGTACACTGGCTAACATTCCAGTCTTCACTTCAATGTTTGTGCAAGGCTACCAGTGAGTCCGCATTTGCGAGTCCTAAAGTTGTTGCTCCTCTGGCACATCATGTTTTGTGCCACCTCAGGGCATGTGCCAATCTCCATGTACACATACATGTAAGGGCTGACTTCGGGCGGCTTGTTCTCGTATGTTCACGAACAGCGCGATTTGTTGTTCTTGGGTCGATCGCTCGAACGCCGGGAACGTACAACCAGTTATCGCTGGTACATGTACATGTAGTTAGTCACAAGCAACATGGCGCCGTCCATGTACATGTGCGTTATTCGAGAGTTAATGTTTCGTTAACTGGGCTGAATTCTTTTCTGTTTAAACAGGAACATTCATTTCTGTGTTATGAAGAATAATTAATGTTACTTTTGCAAAGTTTCCTATTATCTCTGGCGTTGTATGCCATTGCTCTATTTTTTGCCATGTTTGCAGCTGTTCACAAATCCAAATCTCACAAGTTTTTCCGTGTGTTCTTGTAAAACCCTGACGAGGAGGTGGTGTGTGATCCTGCTCCGAGAACAGTGTTCTTGAGTCGTGTTCCCACCGTTCGGGCGTGAGAAGAAGAAACCTGTGTTAAGAACAAGCTGCCCGAACTCGACCAAGGAGATTGTGTACGACTACTCAAGAGAGGCACACACTGATACCGTAACACGGCTACAGGGATGCTTGGGGGAAAAAAAATGGAAGTGACACTGTTGGACAAAATTGTTGGAAATTTGAAATTGTTGTGACCAGCTGATCCTAAAAAGGAGTTTCTTTAACAATGGGCACACCAGTTTCCATAATCAGCATGCATTCTCCTTTCAGACTAGCCAAGCATATACATGTACATGTATATGTCTTCATACCCTACTTATATACACATGAAATGCATTCAGACTTGAAACATTTTTGTGTGCATGTACCCTCTTCCACAGTGCAAAATAGTCTAACTTAATCTGCTTGTACTGCAGGATGTACTAACAAAATCTGGCTGTTTTGGGTACACAGGGTGGACTCATGAACTGATTTGCCGGTGCCCAAAGTCACTACCGGCAGGTGTGTGGCACAAAAAACATACCAGTGCCAGTACATGCTCGTACACGCAAATCCTAACACGCAAACAAAGTCCAAGAAGTGTGCGGCAGCTCGTGGGTTTAACCTTGAACTTGAATGCTGTACACAGCCTGTTGCTGCAGTTACCGTACATGTAAATCATACCCCCAGAACTGTGGGGTCCAACGTCAGCCCCTCTCCCGCGGGAGCAGGGCGGATGTTGGACCCTACAGTTCTGGGGGTACATGTATCACTCCTTGGTGGCATTCCAGATGGTTGCAGAATACATGTGTGAGGTAATGGTGAGAACTACCATGCAAATATTGTGTGATTGACTCCAAAGAATCCGTATTTATGTTATTAGGCTTTATATCAAAGGTTTGCTCATGCATTCTTTTTCAACATTCAAAATTTTAGTGACAGGAAGTAAACACCAAGACCCCATCCCCACTCCACAATGGATGAAAAAAATAGTCTCTTGCAGCAAATAAACAATACAAATCAACAATTTACTAAGGAAGACAGCTTTCGCATTTCGCGAGGAATTTTTGATCTGTACAAAAACAAAACAAACCAAAATACCCTGTTCCAAGTCATTCCTGCAAAGTGCTCAGAGATGCAGTAAAATCCCAGGACAAATTTCACAAGTTGAAGCATTCTGAGAGAAGGGTACTTGTCTCAAGTATGTCTTGATGTGAACACCGACCATGATTTTGACTTATCGTCGTTTGCGAGTTAGCCACACCTCTTTCTTACATACATGTGTAAACCTATGGAGTTTTGTACGTTGACTTTTGTCTCAGATTTTGTGTCCCTTGTCCACTTCGTACATCATGAGATACATGTAATTGAACAATACTTTGATGAGTTTCTTCATCTTAGCCTTGTTTTTACACCTGCGCTGTGTTTAGAGATGCACCCTCTACAATTTGAACCATGAAATGTTTCATGAGGTGACAAATTCACACTCTAAAAATGGAAACATACTGTGCATGCTCGTCTTCTGTATCTATAGATTCATTGTGACCAACATGACCAAGCAGGATTTCTGTGTGATGAAGTGGCAAGTATCTCAAGCAGTTAAAAGCCTAAGTAAATATGATTTTTAGGACAATACAGAAAATTCTAAAATCTACTTAATACCGTACAATGTAACTACTGGGCTATCACATCAGAGACAAGCTTTTCAATTCTTGGGGCTTCAAAAGTGAATGCAATACGGAGATTCACAATAGTGCGCCACCAGGAGTTTGCAATGCATTGGCCAAGCACAATGCACGAAATCTGTCGACCCAATGCACATTTGGAAAGGGTCAACACGCGTTGCAAACTCTTGGTGGCGCACTATGGGGCAGCACGGACATCTGGGAGTTTCACAAAATGGCACGTAGCAACCACATCGTGCCACTGAAAACAACTACAATGAGCACGCACGTACGTACTGATCAAAGAAAAGATTGTGTAACCCGATCCTCTGACTGGCTGGTGCGCACGTACATTGCCATGGTCGCTGATTTCATCGGCGCGGTACCTGCCATATTGCAACAGTTCCAAATGTCTACACTGCCCCATTGTGATCGCTCGTATTATTCATCCATTTGTCAAAATGATCATCTATAGGTGTACTATCAACATACAGACATAAGTTTTTAAAAAATAGTGAAATCAAGAATCTTACTGATGCCTAGTCATGTCTGGCACATGGCATACTACAAAATAAAATTCTACAGTATGAAATAAACCGACAATCTAGCCGTCTTTAAATGCATTCCATTCAAAAACAATTTGCTAGAACTACCAAAATAATTATGATTAGCACGCGCGCACATTCCTATCTAAATATCTCCATGCATATACAACACGCGAAGGCCCTACGTCGACACGCATTAACGATGTTAACACTTCAATCTCAAATCACTTGCCCTCAAATACAGTGCGATTTCATTACCTTTATTATTTTTACTCAAAGATTTTGACGGTAAATGGCATTTGTGTTTACTCTGCAATGGCAGAATATACACAAACAGTTCAAATTGACAAGGAAATGTAATATTACTTACCGGAATTTACAGCATCTGGCCACTATGCGTGCCGAAAACAAGGATTTTTCCTTTGCGAATATTGTGGGTATTTAATTAGGTGGTAAACCGTGGCATCAAAGACGTGTAAAGGTGTTGTGCGGGTACCAGCAACTCTTTACAATGCGCCTACGCTTGTTGACAGGGAAGAAACCACTATATTTCCAGGGGTGGGAGATAAGTTGAAACTTGTACAAATAGACAAGGATGCCGATGTGTTTGTCTTAAATTACAAACTAAAATGTGAAACTTCTAAAAAAATAATTGTTATTAGCGATAAAGTAAATTTTATTTCTAACAACCTCTTTCAAAATGAAGTAATTTTGCGGTAAATTACCTCTAGTTTAATAACCTTCAAGGGTCTGGTTTGTTGCCCAGTGTGCAGAACTTGAATCATGCCATTTTTTCCCCCAGCTAGACTTTGTTCATACGGTACGGACACAAACATACTTGTCAAACCCGCAAGATACATAAGGGTCAATGACCCACACAATTCAGGAACAAGTTTATGCGTGTTGAAACGCACATGGCGTTTGTTTACATTCTTGGCATAGTTGTGCCATTGTTGTGTTTGGACCGTCGTGATGATTGTTCTCGTCACAATGCGTTTACCCACGTGGTACATACAGAGTTGCCGTCAACTGGCAACACGCGAGGGGCCTTCCTGGTGTAGCTCGAAGCACGTGTTTTTGTTTACATTTGTGCTCCAAACGACCAAACCCAAAGTGCGGCACAGTACAGCGATAAGCCAAACAGAAAACAAGGTGATCCGAACTCGTCAAAGGGTAAGACTAGGAGCCTGTGTGTGGTCGTTGTGGTCCGACTTGTCCTCGAGTTGCCTAGCATACCTAGATAGTTTGAACTACTAGTACAAGTCATTTCACTTTCCTGGTAAACTTGGACGATCACACTTTTTCTGTATTTTGACTAGCCCCACTAGCAGACTAGTGTGCCATGGACTCTCACGTACTCCCGCTCCATCCATCCATCCTCCAAAGATGGAGCGGCAGTGAGAGTCCGTGCCACACTAGTGGGGCTACATTTTGACATGTGAACTTACTGACGTTACTTTATTAGGCCTAGTCATCACTGACCAACTTATTGTTTCCTTTACGCGTAATACTCCCCGCAAAAGCAGGTGATCATGTTGGTAAGCCATACTTCAGACACCTCTTCGTTTTGTCCTCATTAAAAAAAAGCTTATAATGATCCTAGGTCCTAGGTTACCTTTGCTGCCCCAACATTACTAAGTCTTTTACTCCTGCACTCATTTGGAGAAGATGTTGCTGAAATGAAATTCTTTCCAATAATGTGCAGTTGAAGACAAACTTATGTTACGCAATAGCAGGGTCTCTATGAGGAGAGCACCAAAGTTGCCTCCTAGAAATTTTGTTTCCTGTATTTTGTGCTGTTTTGTTTTTTCAGCTCTGACACTCAACTTGTTTTCTCTGATGTACAAAGTCTTCTTAATGCCCGCATCTTGAAGAATTAAGATGTCCTCCTCCCAAGATGAGATGACTATCCAGGATCTTGAAGATATCATCCTGGAGGTGCCAGAAGAGGTTATCAGCGTCTTTGAAGGTGTGGTGTTAGCCAAACAGATGAGAGCACAAGAGGGAACAATCAAACAGTTGTGCACCATTCATGACAGGGTCAAAGCCGTAAGTTGAACTTGCAATATAGACCGATCCTCTAAGCCCCGCCCCATTGTGTTCTGACCAATCACAGCAGGAATTTATGTCAGACATGTGTACACAAAAGTTGGACATGCATGCATATGCAAATGATGTGCGCAGCTGGTAAATGTAGTGTGGCATTGGACAAGAGCATGTGTTATATTCCCACATGCTCAGAAGGCAAGGCTTACTGGATCGGTCTTGGAAGGTGGTATCACAACACTCGGGCCCCATTTATTGAATGCAGGTGTGAAGAGAATGAACCAACTACCGTACATGTATGCTCAGCATAATACGGGCTAGAGCTAGTCTCAAGCAATATGCTGGCATTTCACTTTGCCCAATGACCTGTTTCAGCTGAATGTTTCCCTTGGTTAACAAAATTTGATGCTTTGGATCCCCATGAGATTGGTCCCTCATAATCTGCAGTGGAGTGTTAATTGTTTTATAATAACGAAGTGGACATCCCATTGGCAACATTAAAATCTGTGTTAATATGGTGATATTCTGTTGAAAATTTTTTTGGGCCCTTTAATTTGCCCTTTTATATATGTACTGAATAATAATTACCAGTGTGTCAAAAGAGGGAGCCATACAACATACTATGATAAAAAGTCTCTGAGTAGAGTTACTTATAGGTTGGTAATTTGGGAGAAAAAAGGGTCACAGGGCCACTCCACAGACTGGTGCAGACTGTCATACTGTACATTGTTATACTTTTGGGGGTAAACAAGGTGGAAAGACAGAAGACATGCATTTATTTTGGTGGAGCCGGAGACAGAAAATGGACAAATAAAAGCAGTTTCCAAACACACAAGACCTGGAGGCGTCCAGTGTATTTTATTTTCTTGTCGCCCTCTACCTTGCTACATCCCACCATTAACAAGGTTCAGACATTTTCTCAGTTAACATTGAGAAAGGATGTTTTTGCAGCATTCACCCCTAAGTTGAAGTGCACCCTCGACAGCAAAGAAGGGACAGGCTCGCAGAAAGCATTTCAACCATTTTACACACACGAGGACCATACATTCAAACAGAAATTGGTCAAATGTACTCAGCGCTGTGTCTAGCTCCAAATGCATATTGACTTTTGCGCGTGTGCAGTGAGTTCCCAACAAAGGACAGCTGTTTCTTAGTGAAAGCTTACCTTCTCTTGTTCCTGCTCAGAGCGGGCAGTGTGGGAACTAGAAGCCAGGCTTTCCTCATACAAATATTTGCAACTTATCCAGCAACTCATCTGTAAAGTGTGTCGTTTGAAAACTCATGTTTTATGGTATGTTTCAAAAATAACAGTTTAGTTTTAGACTTATTTCCAGGGTGTTATGACCGAAAGGTTCAGACTCTCGTCTCTAAAATACCCATTTTTTTAATCAGAAAATTAAGAAAATTTGGGATTATTGTTATTCCACTGTTCATTTCTGTGAGGATTCCACGCATTGTCTTTAACTTATGAAGAAGATCCAATTGAGTGTAGATAGTATTAGAAAAAAGGTTTTATCTCAGATACAGTTTTCATTTATAATGCATTTTGAAATTGACTTTAAGAGGGTTTTAAGTTCTCCTCCATATTTCTTTTAAACAGAAATAAAAATGTTTTTTTCTATTTTCCCGCCAACAGGCCCTTGCTCATTTTGGTGTCAACACCAACATTCACGCCACCCAATCTGAGGTAGGCTACAATTTGCTAACAGAATGTTTAAACCGTGCTTTACTTTATCCACATTTTGTTATGAGGTGTGCAAAATAGTC